GAGTCTCTTTTCGCATTTCCCCAACTCCTTCAGTTCCATGAAACCCACAATAGCAGCTCGTTGGTCTTCCACGAAGGGTTTTCCTGTGATGGATCTTCATAGCTTTCGCGCCCTCGACCAGATCTGCTGTGCCCTTGGGCACCAAATCAAGCAGTGAATGTTGTCCCACCTCATCCCTGTGTCACAGGCTGCACAGTTTTCGTGATCTGCGGTTTTGCCCGCCTGATTCCTGCGTTAACTGCAAGTGCGAGGCAAGAGTCCTTGCCATTGCATGTTTCTGATTTTTCCATTGCGGATTGTGAGCACAATGTTGCATGGTATTTTGGACATCCCCCCGAGGCCCCGCCTGGCATGTGCATTTGTCAGCGTTGTGGCTGGCCAGATCTCCTGGACGATTTCGGACCTTCGTCTCGGTCTGGATTCCGACCTTGTGGAGTAGCCAAGCAGGTTGACTCCCCTCTGCGCTCCCGTGTTTTAGTCGGTAGCTTCCATGCCCATTCTCCTGGCTCAATCACCAGATTCTGGATCGGCGTCATGGGCGTGTAGATCCTGTAGTCGTCGTCCTCCGCCACCGTGAAGGGGGAAAGGGCGCTGAGTCCAGTCATTAAATGTCACCTTGTAGTTCCTTCTTATTCCATTTGGCTCTGGAATCGTGTTGGGTTTGGAAATTTCAAGTCGTATTTTATTCATAAGTTCAGTTGACGAGGATAGACTGACCATGGGCTGTCTCTTATACACATCTAGATGTGTATAAGAGACAGGATAAGAGCAGTCCATAAGATTGCCCTAACTTAAGTTCAGCTGGAAACTTCACATGTTGTGCTCTCACACACTCTCAGACTGCACCTGGACGAGCAGAGGATTTCGCTGTTCTTCGTTCTCGTCCAACCCGACAGGTGGAATCCCATTTGTGGATGAGAGTATTTGGTGGAACCGGTGAACCATTCAGGTCGAATGGGACAGAGGGCTCGTAGTACCTAACTAGGTGAACCAGCAGACGGGAAGGAGCCTAAATCGACGGACTTGAGTTACATCGCACACTCAAGGCCAGCGAAGTGAGCGTGCGAACACCGAAACTGCTTCTTCGATAAAACTATGGCGAGCCTGCTGATTGACCAATGAATTTGGAACTTCCAACTCTAAGGCGTTTCCAGTCACTGAAAGATTGCACCTGAACATGCAGAGGTTTTCTCCGTCGGTGCTCATGAACATGCAAAGGCCAACTTGCATCCTCTCCCGCCCAATCTGTTGGGTGGAAACTTCTGAGACTTGCCCCTTGTCTTGGGTTTTGAAGGACCTCCGCGGGCTCTGCTGCCACAACGTCACCCTCACACTCGATTGTGACAAACTCAGGCTGGCGTTCCACAGCAGGTTCGCTCTGTGCAAACTCAGGGTGTACTCACACTAGCTCAATCTTAAACGTATCTGACTGCATTTACGGCCGGACCTGGATGCATCTGACCGCAATTACGTCCAGAACTAAGGAAAAAGGTACTAGTGTGAGTACGCCCTCAGTAACCGCCACATAGCAAACAGTGGTTCTACCATTTCTCCACTTGGTGAGGCAGAACTGCATGCCAGAGATTGTGGGTGCCAGCATCTGTGTGACAGATAACCTGTCCCTTTTCGATGAAGCTGTCACCGCCTCTGAGCACGAGCCTGCTCTCCTGCATGCATATTTGCATTAACAATTGCCTATCTTTTTCAGGAAGCTGTCATGGAAGTGTGTGTCTCCACTGCGCGGACTATCACATGATTCACCTGCAGTGGGGCATGCTGAAAGGCTATCGTCGCCAGGGCGAGCTATTGCAGTTGCAGGCCAGTTCCGTCAACAGCTAAACACCTTACTTTGGATCAGACCCTGTCATCGCGTGTGCATGGGTAGGCAATGTCAACTGCTGCAAGAAACTTGCTCAATGCCCAACCGTGATGACCTCCCGATGTTCGACAAGCGTGTCATTGGCATTCTTTGGGGCATAAGGATTATGAAGTAATAGCCATGCACCGTTTTGATTTCATATCTATGCTGACAGTCAACATTGTACTCGGGTACGGCACCCTCACACGTCATGACCTATTTGTAGACAGGGGATGAGACGGCAGTGACTAGTAGACAATTGTTGTCGCCTTGCCTCAGTGTTCTTGACATGTGGGAGCCTCGTTGCCTGTGACATCGGTGGGGGAAGCGCCATTTGTAGTGGCAATGGCAATTGCAAGTATTGGATGCGGTGCTTCCACAGTTCACACTTGAACGGGTCCCGTCCAGTCTGCAGAGGCGGTCAATTAGCATAGGCAGCGCCTGCTTCTGAGCTCGTTTTTTCTGTACAACCCCACCCCCGACTGGATTCTTGTGACAGTCTCTAGCAGTCTGCTCTGCCCTTGAGTTTTGAGGACCCAATGAGGTTCCTTTATTCCCCTGCTCTTCTCCTCACTCAGCTCTCCTCTCTTCCTCCCTCCTCTCCCTCCCCCTTCCCCTCCTCCCTCCTCCCTTCATGCTGAACCATTAAAATTCATACCAACGAGCGTCACAAAGAGAACAGACAAAATGTAAGGGTGCAGGTGTACTGAAAAGCAAACGGGTGTGTATGCATACCATGCTTAGCGCACAGATGTGGTGGACCTTGCAACATTCAGAATACAATAATGAAACGGCGCTTTCATTAAAACAGTGCATATGTTACAATCGTTTCAAGTATCACATATAACTTGATAGAATCATAGGAGATTATATGGTAAGGCTGTTTTTTTTTTTTTTTTAATGGTAAATCTGTTTCAATTTTGGATCCACTCATCTTTGTGGGGAAGGGGTTGTTCTGGTGACAGTCTACAACACACATGCGGACTGTCAGTTTGGAATCATTCTTCGTCAAGGGGGAGGACAATGTTCGGCGAAAAGCACAGCTAATTTGGATGTTGCTGTGGCTTTGGTTGTGCAGGTTTGTTCACTTGATGGATGGACATATATGGATTGAGAGCGATGGGCTTGAACAGGGAACTACGGCGACTTTCATTGCCAGGTTGGGGATTCCGGAGAAATCACACGAGGACTACAGTTACCACCACCAACGATCTGTTTCCCCTCCATTCAGGCAAACAGAACCATCTCGGCCAGTAGATCTCAAAGGAGTGAGAGTCCTTGTCACGGATGACAACTGGTGAGTGACCAGACTCCTTGCTGCCTCCGTCTTGTCATATCTTTCTCCACTTAGAACCTTGGGAATGGCAGCTGATGTGTTCCGTGTTGTTTGTCTGCCTCGATTTCCATGGTTGACGATGTGAATGAATGAGCTTCTTTATTGCCCTCTTTAAAAGAAACTTTAAGAAAGACTATATTCTTCTCTCAATATACCTCCCACTACCCACCTACCTATACGCCGTTCTCTCAGCATGGAGCGTCAAGGGTTATGGGCTTAGATTCTGGCCGCTGCTCTATGGGGGGAGCAGTACCCCGGCTCCTAACACCTGACGCGAGCTGGAAAGCGAAGCGCTTACTTCCACAACCAGCCAGGAGGCCCAAGCCCGTTATCTCCACTAACTACCATTTCGTCAAAATGGACTGCCTGGAGGTACCTGGTCTCAAGCTAGGTCCATGTACAGCCAGGGGGGTCCAGCGTTTGTTTGTAAAACGCTGGACCCTCAGGAACAGCAAATTTTGACGAGTTTTCGGCCAAAAAACTCGTTCTCAATTTCATTCAAAAAATAAAAAAATGTCCATTTTGACGAATTTGACGAAATGGTCGTTCACTGGTGAACCCAAAGGCGTATCACAGGGGGTCGTGGGGATCGAATAGACGACCTGGGCAATCGAACCCATGACCTCCTGAATACCACTCACGTGCTCAACCAGCTGGCCTAGCCAGCTTGCCCTATTTATTCCCTGCCATTGGAATCGTATTAGTCGAGCTTATTTCATTTGGCTCTGTTTTTCCCCGTTTTAAGAGGTGGCTCCGATCTATCCATGCGTAGCACATGCTGGAAAAAACAGTCCATCACTGGAAAAGTTTACAGATTAAGTTGCAAGATGGGAAAAGAGGATTAGGACAGCACTTATTACTCTGGGTGGCACCAGAGGATTGAACACCTGAGCCAGAAAGAAAAAGCACAGTACTGACTGATGAATGGTCCGAGGATTGACTCTCTCTCCTCTTTATCTCCCTCTCAGACTTGTAATGACTGGTACATCCTTGAAAATCAATCATGTCATAAGGGGCAGATCAGCATTGATTAACTATCTGTTTATCTAAATTCCAAGGAAAACTAGAGCACGACATTGATTACTCTACCGCAATTTTCTCATTAGGGATCTCATGTAACGTAGAATTACCCATCTGTCCCCCGCTTCCTTGGTGAGGTAGAACAGCCTTGATTTCTCGGGGGCGGGGGGCGCCAGAGGGTCGGCCGCCTACCTCTCCAGATCTGCCTTCACTTCCTCCTTCAAGTGACCCGTCCCGTACTTGTAAAACACCATTCTGCAAAGTCTGTGAGCCACCGGAAGTTATCTATCTGCCTCCTCCCTTGACTTCTTCTGTCGCAGAGATGGCTATCTCACAGCGCATTAGAGCAGCCATGGTCGGCTGTTATATGCTCATCCCTACCCATACCATCGAGAATCGACAATCAACAGGGTATGTGGGGGAAATCATTTCGGGAAATCTTTTTTTTTTTTTGTGGAAAAAACGCCTTTTTAGTAGACAACCAAAAGGGGAGGGCGAGAATCACTCCACAAACAACCCGTAGAGCTGGGGCCATTACCCAGCTGAGCCTAAGCTGGAAACCGGGTCCAGCGTCCCGTACTGCCTTTCAGATTTTACCCGCTGCCAAATCCGCTGATGCCATTGGCCCCTAAGGGCCCTAACGTTTCCTTGCAATCAATCCCTTGAAAGGGACCTAGCCCTGCAGAGCACAGCGGCTACTCCCATTGACCCCTAAGGGCCCTAACATTTCCTTACAGTCAATCCCTTGAAAGGGACCTAGCCCTGCACGGCGCAGCGGCTACTCCCAAGCCAGTTTGCAAACAGGCAAAACCATGAGGCAGGGGGATGAGAGCCTTATCCATTGTCCACTGCTATTCACCTAGTGCTACAACTGGCTGTCTACCCTGAAGCCAAGCGAATGCCCTCATTTCTCGTCAACTGGGTCGCCCCGATCGAGTTCTCGCTTATAACCCTTCCCCCC